TACTGCTGGCTAGAAATAAACATCTTGTAGATAGGCTGCTTCAAATATATGGTGAACTGAAAAGCTGTGTGCTGATTTATTAATCCCAGAAACTAAATATCTTCCTGATTTTAATCTTGTTATCTATTTTTAACTAAAAGCAGGAATACAGGAATACTCCTTATCTCCTTGGGGATATATACTTTATTAAACAAAATACATACATGTTTTATCTGCATATGTTTCTGTAATTGAACAGAAAGCTGTACTTTAGTCCTGGTTTCTGGCTGTTGTTCGCATTCTGAAATATGTTCTAGCAGCTCTGGTTTTATTGGAGCTGTATGTCAAATAACATTCTTCAGCATAGCAAGAAGCTGTTCAGAACCACAAAGCTAGTATTTGGTTTGCTGGCATTCTTAGCTCATAGAGTATGTTCATAGAAAGGGCCATAAGGGGCAAATATGTATGACAGAATTCACACAGTGCCTACAGGTTTTTCTTGATAAGTAAATTCAGTGATGAGAGAGAAAAGCAAAAATTTAGATATAAAGATGTCCAAGACACTTCAGATCAAGAGTGATTTTTTTTTTAATCTGTACATGCCTAAAAAGTGAGCAAGAATACTACATGCACATATATGCAAGCAACATTAGGCTATCTGTAAGAGTATCTCTATAATGATGAATCAGCCCTCAAATATGCTTAGCACCGTTCTGCGAAGGGAAGTTTCAGGCAAGTAAAAGCCCCTAAGAAAATTCCAGTTAGTATCTCCATATTGCAGCATTTATTGCTTGCAAAAAATAAACTGCCAGTGTGAAGCAGTACAATGCTTCATCCAGCCACCAGGGACAGAACTGAAAAGCAAGATTTAGTATTTGTCTAAAGGGACAATGCAGATGGTCTTCTGCTAGCTCCATACACACACTGAGTGAACAAGACATGCACCAGCTGTGGTACGAAAACTGCAGTTAGTAGGCATAGCTGTAGGATGTATATTTTACTTTAGACACTTTGCCAAGACATAAGATAATGTGCACTTGTAGATATAGATGCTCAAAATACATTCCAGTATCTGCCTTGGCTTGATGCCTTCAGAAAGGTTCATTCAGTCTGTATTTTCTGAGCAACCTTCAAGTTTGGATACCTTCACCTCTGCAGAAAATTAGACTTACCAGATTTGGCTGCTTTAGTTAAGGATGGTTTGTAGAGATGCTTGCACTGGCTCATTTTGAAACTGCTATTAGTACTAATAGCTCTAATTTTCATCCCCACAATTGAATAATACAACTCTTTACAAGTATTTAGAGAACATTCTTAGATACTTTTGTTGTAAATAAAGTAATACTGATAATTTCCAAAAAGATAAGCTCTTTTGGCTTACTCTGGATAGGTTTATCAGATTCTCATTTGTCATATACACTGGTAAAACTTGCTAAAATCAAGCTCAGATTCAAAGAGCTTTGCCCTACCAGCAGTCTTGTAAGCAAAGTAACTAAGGTGAAACTCATCATAACAAAGGCCCACTCCTGTACCGAAGAGCAAGAAATAAAATACAAAGTAAAAACAACTGGCAAGGCAACAAAAAACATTGACAGGACTTGTGGCCTATATTAAATTGCAGACAGAATAGAGATCCATGATATGACACTGCTGCAAAACTAAGGTTAAATGAAAGCAATAATAGGCCACTCTTATGCCAGTGTATGCCATCAGGACTATTCTATATTAAAAAGAGTCATTATTTTTCCTCTTATAAGGCTTCAACTGGAATGTTGCATATAGTTCTGGTTACTGTGCTTTTTAAAACATTAGAGAAAAGCTGGACAAGGTCCAAAGAGAAGAATAAGGTTCAGAAAATATGACTGATGGAGAAATTGGGTTTGTTTAGTCTAGCAGACTGAAGAGAGACATGATAGCAGGCTTTCATGTGCAAAAGATTGCTTGTAAGGAAACAGTAACCAGCCTCTATGTCTGCTGAAGGATGGACAAGGAGAAATGTGTCCAACTTGCAAAAAAAAAAATTTAAACTGCATTATGGAAACACCTTTACAGGTAGAGAGGTGTAAGCAAACTGCATGTGAAGATTTACAACAGGTTGGACAATTACCACTTGGGACAGACTGCTAGACTTGAACCTGCAGAAGACTGGATTAGACTGACATTTATCTGACATCTCTGCTATTTTCAACTCCTTTCTCTACATTACTGGTTTCATTCTAAAATACTTTCTACAGCACTTTTACACAACCAAGTATTAGTTTGTGTTTCTTTGTTGCATATCTCTCCATCTCAGTTCTCTGCCCTGAGATATCCACAGCAATCCCAGTTCCTTTTCATAATGGCAACTTCATTTATCCATCTATTCCTAATTCCCTGCTTACTTCACTTACATATTGCCTAGGTAGAAGCAAGCAAGCAAGCACTGGGGCTGACTGAGACTACTTCTAAGTAAAAACCATGGCTGGAGCAGCTGACTGCTTTACAGAATAACCTGTCTGTCACATCTGGAAATTTGAGTTGTCTCTCTTTATACAGCTGACAATTTTCACGAGACTTACAAAAACCTTCTTAACAATTCTACTCTTTGACAGATTTTTGACTCTTTGAAAACAGATTCAAAGTTATTAGGTGAGGAAAGTAGTCTTCTATGCAGATATAGACCTATAGGCATTCAGCATAATCACATATGCCTCATTTCCATAGGAAATACAGCAAAAGAATTCTACCCCTACAAACTCAACTTTATTCAAATCAAGGATAAAATAATTTGGATGTCTACATTGCTAGTACCTACTGCCTCTCCTTAACAAAGGGAAGCTATGAAATAATATGCTAGACTGCAAATTTAAGTTCCCAGTGTGTCCCACAGATGCTACCTGGAGGATTTTTCAATACTGAGTGGAAACACACCTAGGCAGAACTGTTTAGAGCACCACTTGTTCTTTAGTTCATCTTTTAAGACCAAGTCTTTAGCCTTCAAAAGGGCCATTCAAATTTTTTCTCACCACAGCATAAACAGTTTGGTTTCTCTATTGTTACTGGGTGTTCTTTTTCACATATTCTAAGTAGTTTTGTTTATGGACATGGCTAGACAGTAGGAAAGATGACTCTTATTTTTGCAGTGGAAAGAAGAAGGTATGTGTTACGCATCACAGTTATCTCCTGGATGACTTTCTCCAGAATGGTTTGAGCTACTCCACATGCTGTGCGATCACGCAACAACGCAGCATCAAACATTGCTAATGCAACTTCCTGAAAACTTCCTCCCGTTCCCAAAAGTAATTATGTGAAACAATTTGGCAGACAACTTTAAATTGCTGTATGTATTATGCTATATGTGATCTGAATTGAGGAGATGTGAGTCACAGCAGATTCACATAAATAGAGCAGTGTAAGAACCTGACCCTGAAGAATTTTATTTATGTCTTACTCATGTGAGTCAGTCAACAGGGCTAATGACATATGAGTAAGTCTTTGCAGGGTTCAAAACTACTGTTACAATCTCTGGGATAAAGAAAAGGCCAGACATAATCAGAAACTGGAAAAAACGTGCCTGTAACTTCTATGCATTTCCCATCTCACGTATGTAAACCACACAGCTGCAGTTCCATTAAGTAGTAGTGTGCATGGAAGTTTAAGCTGGGGTGTGTCAAGGCTTCTTAGTTGTAAACTTCATAGATCATTTTATATGCTCAGAATGATCTGTTGGCAAGACTTCTTACTTCCCAGCCCCCAAGGCATTGTTTGTAATAAAAGCCTGCAAATAACTGCAGTGAGCAGTTTTGTTATTCAGTCTCCTTCCTCAACATGAGACAGAACTTCTTCCAGTCTGTGTTCTTCGTAAAGTGTCTGCTGTTACCCACACGTGTGCATTGTGTAACGGCTGCTCTGTCAGACCCCTGCAGACACTTGTGAGGAATAAGGGAGAGACTAAAAGCTGGCACTACTTATTTGCAGCTCAGCAGTAAAGAGCAGCATTTGCCTTAATTTGTTCATCTCGACTAAGTCCATAGCACAGGTAAACTGTGACAAAGGATGCTCTATCAATCAGTTCTCATGAAAGGTGAAAAAGTAGACAGCTTCACCTATTGTGACAATGTGGAGGGGACTTAGGAAATTACAGCACAAGCTTTTTATTTCTCTATTTCAGTCCCTTCTTGGCACTTCATTTTAAGTAACTGGCTTTTAAGAAACTCCCAGGCATATCACTTCCTGGTAGAAAACTACTCTTCTTTCCTGGGAATGAATTACTGTTTATTCATCATTCCTGTTAGTTACTTTAAATGTGTTTTTCAAGTTGTGTAATGACAGCACAGTCTTTTTAATATGTTTTATATACATTATTCACTTTCTCTATCACATCACCGTCAGCAAGACCTCGCTGTGTGTTGCACAGATCTTTCAATGCTGTTTTTCTCTGATGTTTAAATTATGCAATATTAAGTAAAGGCGTTATTAGGAGCAGTGCTTTGAACCCATGATTAATTGACTGATTTTGCCTAATTAAAAGAAGAAAAGCACAGAGATAGAGCATTGTCATTGGACAATATGGGAACATGTTGTCGTAAACTGTATATGCTCTGTCTTGTGTATAATCAAGTTCAGACTGATTGGGTAACACAAGGTTAATGCTGGAGACGGGAGATGCTCTGATTGATAGGTGCACATAAATGAAGTTTCTTCTTTCCTCTGTGACTACCTGGAAAGGAATATAAGCTCTGCAGCTGCTTGTTTACAACACATAGAAACTCACTGGGTCACAGACTGCTGCCATGCAAATGAGCAGCTTTCAGTCACTTTATGGGATCAAAGGTCCTGTATGCAAATGTATAAACACATGTACTTATGCTCACCTCAACTGAGCAAAACATCTGAAAACACAGATCCACAAGTATGCTCTGAATTTTAACAAGAACTGAGGAAATTCTACCACGTGCTTGAATTTCAATACATGCTCTAACAATTCACTGGCTAGAAGTACTTTACAAAGGCAGAAAATAGGTGCCTATATCTAAGGTTACCTTTGATCCATTGATGACAAGAGGAGTGTATGAAGATGTCTTTTCATTGGGAACGCTGCTTTTTGTCCTCTTTATTTCTGCAGAGACAAAGGAAACCGAGTTGAAGTACAGTAACTGTTCTTGGTTTCAGGAATAGGGTAGGGGAGCGGTTTACACTTTGTACTTTAAATTACAATTCTTAAAAAGCAATGAAATTTTCATCTAAGGAAAAAGGCTTAAAAACGATTGACTGGCTTTATTTCTCTGGTAATGCAGCAGTACAATATGCCACTGCTGTACAAAAATCCTATCATTACAGTGTTCAGTGCAAGTACTTCAAAGATAAAAATATACAACCTGATTTTTATATGCAGGCAGATGTGATGTGCATAGGGAATACACCTGCACACTAAAAGAAATGCTAAGCATGGTTTCCTTGTCAAGGTATTTCAGAAAATAAGCAATTTTTTCACACACAGTTTTCATGGAGTGCCTCTTTCAGAGACATGAGATGAATTTGCCACAGAACAATTGAGCTGGAGTCCGTGTCACTGGGGAACGGTTATGTCCTGCCTTCAAATACGCGCTCCTCCAACAAGTACCTACATCCTCTGGCCTCTAGCCATCGCCATTTTTACTGACAGCACCAGGAACAGCAACAGAGCATAGCCACAGAAGGGCATAATTGGTGACATCTTCTTCAACCAACTTCAGGCACTGAATCTGAACTGCGAGTTGTTTCCACAGTTTTGTTTAGGCTTAGGTTTGACCCTAAAACAAACAAGGTCTTCTGAAGACTTTTTAACAGAGGAAGGACGTAGCCAGCAAACCCAAGTCTGTTTTCAGATGGGAAGTGCAATGAATCCCCCTGAAAGCAAGCCAAAGGAATTTAGCGCAGCATGAAAACTTTTTAGACCTTTGCTAAATTGTGGAATGATGATGATGATAGTAACAACCAAACTCATAATCTCTTTTGTGCTATTCCATTAAGTTCATTATTTCTATATTTAAATTTATCTTCATATACTTTACACACTTATTAGAAATTATATTGTATATTTTTAAAGCTTTTCTTCTGCGTGCCTGAAACAGAACAGACAAATTGCTGTGAATTATTTTTATTTTAATACCATGCATTTCAGTGGCACCATTCCACTGAACCTCCTCTGCCCTATTACCCCTAAATTACAGTTTTGGGACAGGTTATTAAGATTCTATTTTCTATATTAAAAACTTTAAATAAAAAAGTATATACTTCCTGTGTGCTAGGTGATAGCATTATAAAGAGATTCCAGACAAATCTTATCTAGAGAAAGGTTTGTTTATAATAGCAACTATACTTCTTTATGGCTTACCTTGAATTGAGACCATACTTGAAACCACACTGACTGATTATTTTCAACAAATTTGCACACTAAAATCAGAGCAGATATACTATTCACTTTCTTGCACCTTACTGTTATCCATGTGGATGTGAAACACTGCAGTATAACATGGCAGCAGACTCAGTTCTGACTTCAGCTGTTCTGCTGAGAAAGATGACGCTACAAGAAAGGAGCAAAGCAGTCCAGCAAGCACAGAACATGAGCCACTGCAGGGCCCAGAAAAGCTGAAGATCCACCTTTACATTTCCCACGTCTGCACTTCAGAATCCATACCTCTATCAATACTCAGGTTCTAACTCTCTTCCTGAAAATCTGTTTGTTCAACTTGATAAAGAGTTAATAAAAACACTCCAGCATTTTTCACTTGAACAGCTGTTACAAACTAAAAGAAATTACTATGTGTACAGCAATTGAAAAAGTCAAAGTAGTTCTGCACATATCACCAGTGAAATTAATGGTACTGCAATAGAAATTAATTTTTCAAATCATTAGAGTAACATGAATGCATCAACTCTGGCTGATTCAATGACTACTATGGAGTGAGACCACACTTAAAGAAGTGAAATCATTACCAATGTTCTCCTAAATACTTACTATGGGGCTTTTACTTCCAGCTACAATTTTTGCAGTCTCAAACAAAGCAATACTAACAAGCTTTGGAGTTATAAAATATTCCGCAATGAATATTCAATGGAAGTAAAAAGAGGACCTTGTACCCCAGAGAGATATGGTGAAAGGATGTGATTCCAAGACTCATGACAAGAAAGGGAACAGATTCATAATGTGAAACATCCATGGAGCTGGTACTGGTTTTAGCACAGCTCACATTCTTGAGCACATTCAAATGACAGCAGGTAAATTCCCCTAGAACTGTTTCAACAAATCGGTCCTCCCTTCCCTAATGGAAATTCCAGTATCAGTGATAAGAATGTAAACTGGTATTAGCAGCACAGAGGTCAACAGAGCTAGGTTTAAACACTGTGATAAAAACTTGAACCTGGAACTGTCGGACATGGCAAAATTATGGGCCAGATTTTGACCTCAGTCATTGGGATACATTTCTGATTTATTCATATACTTCAAATTTGATTTTCTAAAAGCATTCTTTAAATTTTGAAGACAGGTCCAAATTAAAAAATTTGGATCTCAGTTTGATTATTTTTCAAAGTCATGAGGAATTCTATGAGTTTTTCTGTTTGGGCTCTGTATGGGAATTGTTCAGTCATGGCCTGAACCAATGAATGAGCACCAAGTGAGAAGGCATGGCCAACCCAAGGAGCTCAGGTGCAAGCAATATGCAATCAAGAGTGACCGGAAGGGATGGAGCCTGGGTCCACCCCATCTCACCCCCATTTAAGGGTTAGCAGCCAAAAGAGCAACATCTCTCTTCAGAGACTGAGCTCTTGAGATGTTACCAGCCTTCAGAAAGGGTAAGTAACCTTCTATATTGCTTTCTAAACTAGATCTTAATGAATACCTTCATAGGCATGCTCCTGTCCTAGAAGACATTATCATTGCCTTCCATTGCTTCACAGGTTCCTTTGTTAGGTATCAATCAGCATCTCATGCTTAGAATGCCCATTCACTGAGGTTACAAGCATCATAGAGAATATTCTGACAAAAGATGGGAGGTTCATCCACACACCTTTGGATGAAGTAAGAGATGGGATGTTCTTTTTCACTTTGAAGTGGATGGTTCTGGATTCTAGCCCCAACTTCCACACTTAATGTGAAAACAGTTTTGACATTCTCTTCCAGCTTTCAACGTAACCTCAGCTTGACTTAGGGATGCATGAGGAAAAGCTTGATCAGAACCTTCTGGATTCAGGGATGTGCTAATCATAGAATCATTAAGGTTGGAAAAGACTACTAAGATCTAGCTCAATTACTAATTAATCACCACTATACCACTAAATCATGTCCTTCAGTGCAACATCTACCCTTTTCTTGAAAACCTCCAGGGACAGCTCCACCACCTCCCTAGGCAGCCTGTTCCAATGCCTCAGCACTCCTTCAGAGAATAAGTTTTTCCTAATATCCAACCTGAACCTCCCCTGGAGCAACCTGAAGCTATTATTTTCCTTCCTATTGCTGTTACCTGAGAGAAGAGGCCGACCCTCGTTCTACCACAGCTTCCTTCCAAGCAGCTGCAGAGAGCCGTGAGGTCTTGATACAGTTCCTTTTACTCCTGTGCAACAGTGTACCACAGGAAGCCACTGGCACATACAGGGCTTAGTGAACTGGGTGACTCTTAAACTTGTCCAAGCAGGGTCAGTGTCTCCCTCTTGCTCTCTTTCCTACTGATTTTCAAACCCTAGCAGGTCCCTCCTCATTGCCAGCATTTCTCCCTGTTTCTTGCTCTCTGCTTATTTTATGGCACTTGAGGTTTTTCTTCAATGAATCACTTCATAACAAAAGGCCTGCTTCGGATGGCATGCGCTGTTTCCTAAGATAGAAGGGATGACACTCATTCTGGCTTCCCCCTAACGTACACAGTCCTGTAGCTATCTTGTTCCTTAAGTCAAGAATTTCCCAAGGCATTTCCTGAGATGATCTGCAGAGCACTGGTGCCTCGTGCATCAGCCGGGCCAGCAGCCTGATGTGTTTCACACAGTGCGGCTCAGTTCAGAGCCCAGCCCAGCCAGGGTTTGGGGCTGCCAAGAGCGCTCCTATTTCCCCTCACCACACATGCCATCGGCTGATGGATTCTTCTCATTCTCTGACGCTTGGCTTTCTGCAGGAGAAAATGCCAAACGCAAAAGGGCCAGGGAAGGCAGAGGAATTGGCCGTTATTTTGAATATGATTACTTCAGAGCCATTTCATACGCCCAAATAACTTTTAGGCACATAGAGTGTGACATTACGTAGAGAATCTGCCTCGCTCGTTGTCAGGAGCTCTCCCCTTACCTGAAATCTGGTTACACGGGACATTCCTGGCCGGAGCAGTTATTCATTCTGTTCACTAATAACAGCCCGCTCCTCAGCCGCAGCTCGGTGTTGCTCATCCCACACAAAGCTCCCCGCGATACGGGCACGGAGGGTCCCGACCCCCCGCCTTTCTCTCCGTGGCTGTTGGGGCTGCGCGGGGAGGGCTGTCGGGCTTTACGCGCGGTCCCCACACGCCGCGTGCTGGGGGAGGGGGGCGCTGCCGCCACGAGGGTTGCGAGGCTCAGCCCGGGGAGCTGCCGCGCGTCGGCACCGCGAGGTCGGGGCACCGTCATCCCCGCGCTGGGGCTCGCTCCGAAGCCGCTTCCAGAGCGGCCGACGCCTGGCCGCGTGCCCGGCCGCGCCGCGCTCCCGGCCTGGACGACGACCCGACCGCCTCGCGCTCCGGCGCCGGGGCCGAGGTGCGGCGGCCGCCGGTTCGGGCGCCGGGACTCGCCATAAAAGGACAAACGCCGCCGACGCCGCTCGCGGGGCGCCCCCAAGCGGCGCTTCCGGGAGGCCCGCGGCCGCCGATCGCCGACCGGCGCGCGGCTCGGCACGCGGCCCCGCCCCCGACCCGCGGCGGCCGCTCCGTGGAACGCCGTCTCCGACCGTTGCGCGTCTCGCGCACGCCTCCCGCTTCCTGCCCCGCCGCCGCCGATTGGCCCGCCGCGCGCCCAGGAATGCGAGCGACCCTTTAAAGGCGCGCGCGGCGCCCGGCGTCCGCAGAGCACCCGGCAGCGCCGACCCCCGCCGCACAGCGCGCCGCTCCCTGCGCCGAGGCGCCGCCGCGCTCCCCGGAGGATATCGCTCGCCCGAAGCGGGAGCTGCCCGCCCGCTCTCCCTGCAGGTAGGTGCTGATGCGGTTCCCGCCGTCCCGGGGCACCCGTCCCGTCGCGCCGAGCCGCGGGGCAGCTCTGTGACCTTTTCCTTTGTGGCCGTTCCCAGGTCGGTCAGAGGCAGATGCTCGCCATGGGGCCAGCCGCTGTTCTCGTTCTCCTTCTCCTGGCGCTCGGCGGCCCGGAAGCCAAACGCACGGCAGGTAAGGGCCGGCGCGGGCGGCGTCGGCTGGAGCGCGCCTTGGGTGGGTTCGGGGAGACGGCGCCGAGGGGCAGAACGCCACGGCTCGGCGAACGAGAAACTTTAAGCGGAGCGGTAGTTAGTTACGGAACTTCGGCGTGGAATTCCTGCAGCCTTCAGAAGTAGAAGCTCTCGAGAGCATCTCGCCCACCTGATGTCCCCGCGGGGGTTTGCTGTCCCGTTCCTTCTCCGGGGCGGCTGCCGTGCGAGCCTTGCGGCGTGCTGTGCCTCTCCTGTTTCTCCTCCGTCCGAGCCTAATGAGGTGTCAGCGTGCCGCTACCTCGGTGTCGCTCAGCGGGTACCCGGCGCTCCTGTGCCTCCTGGCTCCTTCACAAGAATGTGCGCGGAGCGCCGCACGCAGCTCCCGGTGGGACTGCCGTGCTTGCGAGCTGCTGCCCCTGCTCTGCGTACCTTGTAATGCCAGCATCGCTAGTCAGTGTGTTAAGCAGCTCTGAGAGATGTATGGTTTCGCAGCCTGTTCTTCTCCATGGCTTACGATGGATACTCTGATCTCTCTGCAGAGTCCAGGGGTGATGATGACAGTGTCTTTGATGTCTTTGAACTCACTGGCTTGATGCGCAAGGGAGCTGGGCGCCGGGGACCTGGGGTGCACCTGATGAAGGGGCCAGAGACCTCCAGCCCTGCTTACCGCATTGAAGATGCCAGTCGCATCCCTGCTGTCCCTGATTCCAAGTTCCAAGACTTGTTAGATATCATCCATGCTGAGAAGGGCTTCATCCTTCTGGCCACTCTCCGGCAAGCCAAGAAGAGCAGAGGCACACTGCTGGCTGTGGAACGGAAAGATGGCTCTGGTCATGTCTTCAGTCTCGTTTCAAATGGCAAGGCAGGCACCTTGGACCTGAGCCTCTCTGGTGATGGCAAGCAGCAGTTAGTGTCCGTAGAGGATGCTTTGTTAGCTACAGGACACTGGAAGAACATCACCTTGTTTGTGCAAGAAGACCGGGCTCAGCTTTATGTGGGGTGTGAGAAAATGGAGAATGCTGAACTGGACATTCCCATTCAAAACATTTTCACCAGGGACCTGGCCAGCATTGCCAGGCTCCGTATTGCCAAAGGGGGAGTCAATGACAACTTCCAGGTAAGATTTTCCCTTGCATTTTTGCCTATTATCTTCAGTCGTATGCCTTGAAAGTACATTATTCAACCAACCTAAACAGTTAGAAAATTGTAGGAAACAGGGAGAAAAGATTCTGCTTCTGTATATCTCATGTGGACCACCTCCAGATGTACTAAGCTCTGTCAACGCAGCTTGAAGTGTGAAGCATTAGATTTGCGGAGAGAACTTTATGCAACAGTAGGTCCCAAAACTTCTGGACAGGTGGTTGTAGTTTGATTGCTCAACTTATTATACAAGACTGAGAAACTGATGCTTTTTTCCCTTCCTGCCTGGCGAATTGCCAGGTCTTTGTGGTCAAGACTGAGAATGTTAGGAAGCAGGGCTTGCTCTCACTCAGGAGAATAAATTAACATGTTTCACCTTGCTATCTGTCTGTTGTGAAATTACTTGTGATGAACTTAGGTGAACTTCATTGTCTACAGGCTCTTTCCATGCAAGTTACCCTTCTTTCCCTTGCAGTTGTTGCAGGTAGCTGCAATTCTTTCTTTTTCCGCAGGGACTGTTGCAGAATGTACGGTTCGTCTTTAGAACAACTCTGGAAACTATTCTGAGGAACAAAGGCTGCTCCAGCTGTAAGTCTGCAATCTTTTGAATCCAATGATCTATTAATTAGAGGGTTCCTCAGTATGTTAGAAAGGCAAGCTGAAACAGAACTCAGAAGTATGCTGACATTCAAATCTACATTGCATAAGAAATAATATTTTTCTGGAGGTACTCTAGTGAATCTGGTGGCAGCTGTATAACAGGTGCTACCCTGGAATTATAAGTGTACATGGCAAAAAACTGCATTTACTTTATGTAAACTTTCTTGTCTCTTAGCTACTAGTCCAATCATTACTTTGGACAACCCCATGAATGGTTCCAGCCCAGCTATCCGCACCAATTACATTGGCCATAAAACAAAGGACATTCAAGCAGTTTGTGGCTTTTCCTGTGATGAACTAACTAACATGTTTGTGGAACTGCAAGGCTTACGGTCCATGGTTACAACACTTCAAGACAGAGTTCGCAAAGTGGTAAGTGTTTGTTATATTCACAGTATGTCTTATCTGTCACTTAATGAATTGTAAGTTGTCCTTGGAGCTTGGATAAACTTCACTCTTGCTATGAATTTGTGGAAGTGTTTTTTCTATGTTAACTTCTAAATATCTTCTCTCTGCTGCCCTCCCCCCCACACCTGCCATTTAAGACTGAAGAAAATGAACTGATTGCCAAAGTGGTCCAGATCACTCCTGGGGTATGCATTCATAATGGGATCTTGCACAAAAATAAGGAAGAGTGGACTATTGACAGCTGCACTGAATGTACTTGCCAGGTAAGATTCCTTGCATTCATAAGTTCTCTGTATATAAATTCATGACTTCAAATTAACCGATAATTCTAAATGACGTTCTTTGTCTGAAGAAATCCTACACAGAATGGGGCCTATCATACCCAGAGAAGTATTCAGCTTGTCTTTTTTTACCCTCCTAAATCTTTAATATGAATACAACTTTTGTATAGTATTACTACGGCAGTAATTTAGAATTACACTGAATGTCACTCTCATACAGATGTTAAAAATGCATTTAATTTCAGAATTTGGGGAATGCCTCTGCTTTCTATGTAATCTGTGTACATCTACAAGTCAGTACTAAAAGAACAAACAGTATTACCATCTTTCCTCCCCAAAATACTTTAAATGGGCATTTTATCCTCAGTGAACCTCCTGCTGGCTTACCAGAAAAGAGGTTCTAGTACTCAGTAAAGGCTCTTAAACTTATACCTTTTTTCATTATATATTGAATGCTTCTAAGTATGTCCTG